CTGTACTTTTTTAGGACCAAACCTCATCTCCTGGACAGTCAAAAAGCAGGTGACGGTCGCGAAGTCTTCCACCGAAGCCGAATATAGGTCCCTATCAGCCGCCACATCGGACGTAATATGGCTCAGGCGCCTAGCGGAAGAATTTGATCTTCCTCAGACGACCCCAACACTCATACACTGTGGCAATACCTCCGCGATCGCTCTAGCTAAGAACCCGGTCTTTCACGCTAGGACCAAGCACATCGAGATAGACTATCACTTCATCCGGCAACACATAGCCTCCGGCGAAATCTCGATTCACCACATATCTTCCACCGAACAGATAGCTGATATTTTAACCAAGCAATTCAATCCTGCTCGCTTTCATGAACTTCGTCGCAAATTAACCATTCGACAACAGAATGCTTAATTTGAGGGAGGATGTAAAGAAGCAGTTACACCTTATACTTCTACTAGCCTTATCGTTTCCTTTATTTACAACTTTACTGTAACTCTGTTATAAATACCGTTGTACATTTAGACAATACATACAGATTTAATAACATCACTTTCCTGTATTCTATTCGCTCTTGCTGTTCGTTCTCTTTCCCTTTCTTGTTACGCTTTCATACACAACAAAAAAATAACGTGGCACTTCCTAATTTGTCTCCCAACGACACCCAGTGTCCGCATAGAACAATTTGTGGCTGAAGTGCGGCATGGCGGAGAAAACCAACACCATTCGCACTTTTTTTTTTTTTTTTTGCGTTAATCAGATATCAATTGAATGCAGGCAATATTTAAAAATAAAAGCTTAGCAACGCATTTAAATTATCATTAATTAAATTAGATTACAAGTACCAATGGCATAGGCGATCTGCAAAACCACCGCCACAGCTCAGAGTGGCACCGAAGATTTCACGGTAAACTCGAGAGACTTGAAGTTTTCCTTCAATAAAAAAAAAAATTTAAATCTTCGATTATATGAAAGAAGTTCTCATACTTGTATTACAATTTATTATAGAATTCTAACAATATTGTTGTTGCATCCTGGCGTATTTGCGATGGTAGAGAAATATAAAGTTTAGCATCTTAGTGCTGTATGAAGATCCAACATGCATATAGATAAAAAGAAAGGGTGTTGCATTCATATGAAACACCTGGATTTTTACGTAGAAAACCCCTGAAAAGGGGGAAAAACCACGGGTCCTAGCACAGCATGAATGAATCCACTAGTATTTGCAGTTGATTACAAATGAGGCCCTTTCTTGGGGGAAGGCCTTAGCTCGATGTACATCATATAGAATACATTGCATGGTAGGAATACAATGAATCACTGTTTATGTGTTTGTTTAGTTGGAAGGACTGTAGTCGGTGGGCGACGTAAATCAGAAGGACCGTAGTCGGTGGGCGACGGAGGTCATAAAGACCGCTGTTTAACGACGGAGGTCGGAAGGATTGTAGTCGGGTAGAAGTCCAACGATGGACATAAGTCTAGCGTTGGATAGAAGTCCGACGTTTGTCCGACGACGGGTAAAAGTCCGACGAAATTCTATTGTCGGACGGAAGTCTGGCGTCCAGCGATAATCCAACAACGGGCGAAAGTTTGGCATTGGGTAGAAGTCTGACGTCAGTCGGCAGCTGGGTGAAAGTCTGGTGGTGGTCGAGGAGGAATTCCAACGTCACTTGGAGGTCGGGTGGAATTCCGGCGTCACATGGAGATCGGGCGGAGTTTCGACATCACTTGAAAGTTGGGCGGAACTCCGGCGTCACTTGAAAGTCGGGCAGAACTCTGGTGTCACTAGAAAGGCGGAACTCCGACGTCACTTGAAAGTCGGGCGGAACTCCAGTTGTAGTCAAGGAGGAGCTTTCTCCCTCCTCTTCTTCTCTTATCTCCTTCTTACTTGGGTCCCCTCTTAAGAGAAATGATGGGCTATTTATAATTTTTGGAGGAGAGCATGGTCAGTAAATAGGATGAAAATCGGGGGTAAATTGTGAGTGGTTTGAATGGACGGTCGATGTTTAATCCCTTGATCGTGGACCATTTATTGGGCATTTGAAGGCTCTAATGATATCATAATTTGACGATCTTGGACTCGTTGAATTCACCTCGTCGAGTCGCTTGATTCGACTATAAGCATGCCATATTTGCAAACCGTTTGGTAATACAAATCATGGCTTGAACCTTCCAATAGTGATTCGGGTCCTCGATTCGGACCCATTTGTGCTCGGATTGAGTTGAATTTGGTGTCGTTGGGTTTGTATTTTCGAGACGCTCATTTTGATTGTAAGTTAGCTGAAACTGGAGTTCATATGGTCCTAAATTTAATTTTTGAAGCTTCCGACCTGATTTTGCCTCGAGATTCGTACCTGATAAGATAACTTTTTGATGATATATCAATTGTATACGAGGTTAAATTCCAAATGCTTTCTCTGACTATTCATATATGTCCATTTTAGTCCTAAAGGTTGAGATTAATTTGTGATCAATTTTGTAAAAATCAATAAACTGAATTCAGATCAATTCTTTATTTTAATTATAATATTTAGAATTATTTTGGATCAATTTTGTATAGCCAAAAGATTAAATTAGGCCAACATGATATTCTGAGACTAAGGCTTCATTTGGGATGACTTTCTTACTGCTTTTTAAAACAATTTTTTGTACAAAAACTAAAAATTTTTACTACAAAATTGTTTTAAGAAGCAGTAAAAAAATTACCCCAAAATAAACCTAAATTGGCAATACAAGAATAATCTAGGATTTATTTTGAGATTTTTGTGATTATATAAAGATTTATGCTTCGTCTTGGATAACTTTTTTACTTTTTTTAAAGCAATTTTTTAGCACAAACATTTCTTGAATTAAAATATTTTATACCAAAATTTTATTTTAAAAAATAATGTGAAAGCCATCTCAAACGAAACCTTAATGTAAAATCTAATTGTGCTGTCGTTTTTTTAAGAGAAACCCTGATGGTAATACAAGGATTTTACAAAACCTTGACATAAAATCAACATTAATTTTCCTAGTTTATGAAATAGAAAAATAATTATTCTTATTTACAAAATCGTAAAATTATTGTTATTAATCACAAAAGGCCAAAGTCAAAAAATTTATGCAAATATTCCAAATTTTTACCCTAAACTTTGATACACCATAGTAGTCATTAACAAACACCATGGTTGGAGCAAGGCTACAGGAACCGTTCGGATCAATTTCAATTTTAATTTTTTTTTTTTTTGTAATATTTTACAATAAAATAAAATATATTTGACATTTATAAAAAATATATTTTTTAATTTTTATTAAATATTAAATAAATTAATTTATGAGCTGGAGGCAACAATCTTTTATTTGATAGGGACAACAATCAGCAAGTTAATGTCAACAATGGTTGCAATGATAGTAACATCATTTGATTATGATAATTAAAAAAAAAAAAAAAAAACTCAAAACTGCTCTTAATTATATTAGTTATTTTTAAAAACAAAAAATAAACTCTTTAAAAGCACACTGAATAGATATATTTCTAACAAAAAAAATAAAAGGCAAAAATGATCATAAAGGAATCATAGCTTAGGGAAGGAGATATCTCTAAGTTAAAAGGCTAAAATGATCATAGCTTAGGGAATCATAGCTTAATCACAAAAGGCTAAAATACCTAAAATTATCTTTAAGTATTATTTTAAAACTAAATAATAAACTGAAGATTATTTTGAAGGAGATATTGCTCCATATCTTGATGTTTAAATCGGAAAGAAAATTAAGCACTAACAATGCAGTTGAATAGTTGACTACAACTGGGACAACTGTTTAGGAGTGTCAAAATAAATTTTCGGGACGGATTCTGATTCAACTTGAAATTAACCCACCCTCGACTGCTCCAACCCAAACCCGACCCAATTACACAAAAAAATCAAAAATTTGAACCCGAACCTGACTTCCCCAAATCCGCGTCAACCCGACCCCGGACCCAAGCAAGCGAAGAGCAGGCGACTTCGAGCGCAGAGCGCGGGTAAAGCACGACTAAGCTGGATGCTGTGTGGCTTATAGTCTGGATGCAGTTACGCAGGCGGGAGCGGGACGCAATGAGGGCAGGGGCGAGATGCAGTACGAGCACAACACTTTAAGGGGCTTACGGGCGCATAGGTCTACCAGTCCGGAAGCAATGCGGGCAAGGGTGTGGGCAGGGACGCGGGTCATTTTCAAGTCATTTATGGGTTAGCGAGCTGACCTGGATAGACCCAACTTTTCAAACAAGTCAAGAATTAAAACCCAACCCAACCCATTTGTTAAACGGATCAACCTGAAATCGAATTTTTTGAGCCGGGTCATAAGTTAACACCCCTACAGCTGACATTCAGATTTATAGATGAACTAGAATAAGAATTCAGCATTGTCATTACAGTAAACAATAAATTTCTTGCAGTTTAAAATGAAATATTAGAAAATAATGAGTAAACAAATGGAAAGAAAGTACACAGTTTTATTCAGGTAAACCAACAGAAATTCAAATTAACAGAGCAAACATGATAACTAAATAGTGCGAAAAGCAAAGAATTCAGAAACATGAACAACCTCAAACCGTCACAACACAGCTCTGGTTTGACGAATTATTGAAAGAAATCTGCAGATGTGCAGGCCTGCAGATTGCCCATATAAAAACAATCTTCTGCACTTGCGAGGCTTCTTGATTAACTGAAAAATATATGCATATGAAACTCGTAGAAAAAAGATATATACCTCTGCAATCAGGTGGAGTAGAAGAAGAAATGCGCGTCGTGGAAAGGAATAGTTAACAGGAAAACCTAAACCTAAGGGGAATACAGGGTTTGGCTGAAGATGTCAAAGATTCAAAAACTGGTTAGGTTGTAGTGGAAGATTACTGCTTCGTTAGAGAGTTTTTTACTGTTTCTTGAAACAACTTTCTAGTATAAAAAATTTAAATTTTTATATTAAAAAATTGCTTCAATAAGCAATAAAAAAATCGTCCCAAACGAAGCCTACAACTAAGATTAATATGTGGAAAGAATATTGACTTGAATTGATTATAAGGTAAAAGAACAAGCAAGAGGTCAGAGAAGAAGGCACAGTGCAATTCCAGAAAAGAAGGGTGTGCTGCATCTTGAAGATCACTTCCTGGTCTGGGATGAACTGCGCTCGCAATCATTGATTTGCCAGAATGGTGAACTTCCGAGGAAGAGAGCAAGGCAATGTAAAATATAACGAGTAAGCAAATCAATGCTGGTCCATGGCACAAAGGCGAGCTCGACCAGGGTTAATCAATGACTCTGACATAATCCATCCCTACAAAAAAAAAACATGAATTAGAAAATAAAATTCAGATTCATCACCGGACAACCAACAAACAATCTTCGAAGTGCAGTCTAATAGGTCATGAGCGGATCCACCTTATGCCCATGGGGGACAATTGTCCCCTCTAAAAAAATTAAAAAAAAAATTATTATATGATTCTTTAGATAATCTGTCCCCCTCAATATATTTTTTAGTCTTTATTACACAAGTTTTTAGGCAATTTCCCCCCTAAAAGTTTTAAAATATCATGGTCTTTAGGCAATTGTCCCCAGCATAATCAACACATTGTGTAGATGTGTTATTGTTAGGAAACGAAGAATCAAATACAAAAAGAAATACCAGGTTAAACCCGCCAGGGGGAGCTGCCCCCTTGGACCCCCGACATATCTGCGAAGCATATAATGATCAAGGATATGAACAAATAGGGTTGAGCCAACTTCAAGGCAAAAAAAAAAATTTCTTGGGTAGTGTCTTATCTACAAACCCATCTGCCTTCCAAAATTTACCCCGGAACTTAGTTCGTTAAAACTCCCTCTCTGAATAAAAAAGAGCGAGGGGAGGCCGAGGCCGAATTTTCGGAGCCCACAAGTGAATAGAATCTACATACGAAGAAATAGGCTGCACAAAAATACTCGGAAACACAAAAAAAAAAAAGGCAAAAAGATCACCTCATCTGCAGCTTTTCTCTTGAAATCTTCATAAAAGCATGAGACTGCTTTGCAGGACTCAGCAACCTGAGCTTCGATATCGATAGCTGTAGGAAGTAAATGATTCGACAAGCTAATGTTTAGGGATGATTGAGAATGATTCGATAGGCTATTGTTCATAGATGATTGAGAATGATGTGTGAGATTCCTTGAAGACTGCTTCACATTTGACGAATTAAGTAAATGCAGAAGCACATGAGCCTGCAAAAGCAGGGAGTTAATAGCCAGCACAACGTTCATTTCCTTATTTGACTGATGGAAAGGAATACCTACATGGAATGCTGCCTTCAATATGTCATCTGACTTTGCTTTATCCTTGAGTAGAGCATAAATGTTACCCTTTGAAGGATTATATGTCACTATATACCTTTCTTTCTGTGGGCGATGAAAATTGCAATAAGTGACAAATATGCAACTTTCAAAAATGACAGAATAACAATATCCAACGGATTGATGAGCCCAAGATCACAACAAGGGAGCACATATAACAACATTCAGGGGAGTATCATTACATTATGGAACTCACAATGACCAACGTAAAGCTTCATAAATATTAAAACAATACCTCAAACAATGACTCTATGGCAAGAAATGCTGATGGATCTTGAAAAGCTTCTCCAAATCTAGATCCTAAACGGAGATGGTAAAGATTTTGGAGTGATCTAACATAATCATGCAAAATAAAAGAATGTGGTAATACAGGTAGATACCTAGGACCACAGATGTTTGTTTTGACCAAGGAAAACTGAATATATTTTCTTTGGCGTTGCCTTCCTTCAATGAAGGAACACTCCCTACAAAACAGGATGAAAAAACAATAACGCTCATAAGAAAATCAAATTCATGAACTAAAAGAAAAGGGTACCGCCTGCTGTTAATTTGGGTTATTAAGATCCCGTTAGTAAGTATGCCAATGATAGGAAGAGAATGATGTCATTGGTGGCTCATACAAGCTCCACTCACTAAAGAACCTTGTTAGATTCAACTCATCCATTTTCACAGATTTCCATATAGAATGTCTTTAAATACGGCCATATCCCTCTTCATCCCTTCCAAACTCTTAACCCACCTTTAAATTCTCCAAAACTGCTAGAATCATAATTCACCCCAAAAAAAGAGAAATTTTTTGAAATAAGGAATGGCTTTCAGACACCTACATCCATCCTTGTTATTGAAAAAATATGTTTTTTTATAAGATTTTCACGTTACAAACTTAGGCTTCATTTGGTACAACTATGCTGAAGTTGTGCTTAAGTTGTGAAGTATGAAATAAAATTATAGTAATCTTATATAGAAATACGAGGTGCTCCACAAGCCAGCTCATATGTTTGTCAAGTCATGGAGATGATGCCCGCACAAAATGATAATTTTTTAAACATTTTTTTCATATAAAACAAGCTTTCATGGTTAATCACTTAATAAATACGCAAATACTAGAAAGAGACAAATACCATTAATTTCTCATACATGTTACACAGATAAAGAACCTCGACGAATTCAAGCCAACTCTTTTCACATCATTCCATATAAAATGTCTTTTACTGATGACCATCTCCTTCCTCATTCTCCTGAACTCTTGATCATCTTTAAATTCTCCAACATTTTTTTCATCATCCCAAATCACCCACAAAGTTAGAAAATTTTAGGAATAAGACATGAAGTTTACAAGAAATACTCATAGCCTCCTTATAAATGACAAAATAATTCAATATTTATGACACTTTTCCACATTATAAACAACTCATTTGGTACAATTATCTTCATATTATATGTAAGAAATGTAAAAATATTAGGTTTAATCTCACATCAAATAGTTAAAACCAATTATGTCATTAAAATATCAAAAAGTTGACCATCACCCAAGCTTAGGCTTTTGAGTAAAAAATGGGTTTAACAACTAGTGCATCAAGCTTAAATTTTATAAATCTTTGGTTCTGAGCTTCTATGAAGCGGTATCAATGTCAAAGGTTCTAAGAGAATAAAGTGGTTCATGTGGTTTATGGATCTTAGTTTTGACCACTTCTACCATTATTGAGGATTTTTTCTTTTTTTAATCTTTTTTATAATTGAATGAAGAGTCAAATGATATGACCATGTTAATAGAAGTTTAGCTGAGTCAAGATAGAAAGACTGAGAGTAACTATGAAGCAAATTCAAAACATGACACTTATATCCCTTATTCTGCATCATAAAGACCTCAAATACCTGTCTTGAGGAAAGAGTTCACTGCCACAGCAAATCTGGCCCGATTCATTGTGTGCAGAACAACAGATTTCACCTGGTATTAGACAGAAAAGATACATACTGAGGACAATTAATCTGAAGCAATAAGAACGAACTAAGAAAAAATTAACTTTCAAAGAGTTTACCTCTTGGTATGAACTGAGAAGATAACCACACGAAAGGAAAGCAAATGAAGCAACCAATGATGGATTACTTTTCGAAACCAAGATACTCAGACCTGTCCCCAACTGCAAATCCCATGGATCAAGATTAACAAAATGATGATAATTAAACAGTATATTTGTAATATTAAAAAAAATCAGAAATTCATAAAGTTTGTGTGGAAAGATTAGTCCAAAATAATGTAAACATAATAGTTTTATCAATTTCTCCAAAGATTCTTTGCATACACTTACCATTCATAAATGCATTCTTACGTTTACACCTACAAACTTAACAAGTGGAGCCATTGAAATGGGCATAGGGCCCATTTCATTGCTCGTGGATAGGAATCACCATAACCATTAGCTTTATTTTAATGATATGGGGACGGCATTATAAATCCTTATTTTCTATTTGTTCATCCCTTGAAAATCATTTTGAAGAATTTCTTAATAGACAATTCTTGTTAAAAAAAGGGTACTACATCTATACACACACACACATTAAAAAAATGTCTAATAAAAGAAATAACTAACTAGCCTGATTCTTTTCTTAAATTTAGAAAACATAATTAAGTCTTCAAAGTTAGGACTATGTAGAGCTTTGGTGAGGATGTTTGTAGTTTGTAGCTTGGTAGAGATATATTTCAATTTAACACTCTCACTAGTCATCTTCTTTGTGATGAAGTGTCTGTCAATTTCAATGTGTTTAGTCTTGTCATGATGCATGGGATTCTTAGCTATGTTGATAACTGTCTGATTATCACACACCAGGAGATAAACTCATTTGTCCCAATTCACTAAGAACCTTTTTATCCAAATCCCTTCACAAATTAACTATGCCAGTTCTTTGGACCTAGCTTCTACACCACTTCTAGCTATCATTGATTGCTTCTTACTCCTCCAGGTAACAAGATTACCCTAGACAAAAGAATATTACCCAAAAGTTAACCATCTATCAATGATGTTTCTTGCACAATATGCATATGATTACACTTCAGTGTCACAATTCTCTATTTTTTTAAGAATAGGCCTTTCCCTGATGTCATCTTCAAGTACCTAAGAATTCTGTAGACGGTTTTCATGTGTTTCTTTGTAGGACTATGCATTAATTGACTAACAATACTTACTGCAAAACCAATACATGAGTGTGTGAAAGATAGATCAAACATCCAACAAGTCTCACATATCTCCCACTATCCATAGATGTACTTTTTTTCTTGGTGTCATGTTTATTCTGACTATCCACAGGAGTATCAACAGGTTCGTATCGAAGCATACCGATCTTCTTAAGAATCTTCTTAAGAAGATCTAGATATATTTCCTTTGAGAAATAACAATGCCCTTTCTTAATCTAGCCACTTCTATTCCAAAGAAATATTTAAGATTTCTAATATCTTAAACTTCAAACTCTTTTGACAAATACTTCTTTAAATTTTGTAATTCATTCACGCATCATTTCAAGAAAAAATAATATCAACGATATAGACTATAAATATAATACTTTTCTCAGCATGAGATTTCTTGACAAACAGAGTATGATTAACTTGACCATGTATGAGCTTAGCTTCAAAATAGCCTTTGTGAATCTATCAAACAAGGCTTGAGGACATTGTTTAAAGTCGTAAAAGGACTACTTGAGTTTGCAAACCTGATTCTTTGCCATATTTTTTTTTTAAACCAGGTAGGATTTCCATGTAAACTTTCTCTTTAGGTCACCATTTAAAAAGATATTTTTTATGTTAACATGTTACAAGTATCAATCTTAGTTGAAAGTCAATGAGAGAAAAATTCTAATAGTGTTAAGCTTTGTGACAGAAGAATTGTTTAAAATTGTGTATTGGGGTATTGAGACGTTTTTCATTCGTGAGGCGAGCCGTAAGCCTCAAGGCGTTTTGAGGCGTAAGCCTCAAAATCAAAAGATTGCGTAAACATAAAATGATAAATTTTTATATACTAATGAGTGGATAATATAAAACATAAAAAAGCATAAGATATGAAGTGAAATCAAAATACCCCAATAATAAGACAACATGAAATATAGTTCAACTCAAAATTCTATCTTTCCCAAATCCCAATATTCTTTTCATTAACATATAATTCCAATTTCCAAAAATAAATAGTAATGACATATCACATAAGAACTCATAAGTCATCAGCACTATCGTCACTAAGGGGTTCTTCATTTGAATCATCATTATGATGAACTACTCTCTCCCCTTCCTCCTCTCCTATAGAGTCCAATATCGGGCATTTACTTCAAGATTTATGCAAGTTCTAATATATATAACATGAGGCGTAAGCCTCATGCCAGTGAGGCGAGGCGGGACTCAACCAAGTTGAGGCGCAAGCCTCATAAAAAAAACTCAAGGCGTAAGCATCGAGGCATTTTTTAATGGAATTGCGCAAAGGCGAGCCTCATATTGCGCAATTTTAAATCATGACAGAAGCAAAAGTTTCTTGATAGTTTATCCCATAGGATTGTGCAAATCCTCTAGCTACAATCGAGCCTTGAATCTCTCAACTAATTCATATGCTTTGTACTTTATATTGAAAATCCACTTGCGCCTCACAAGCCTTTTCCCAGCTAACAAATCAGTAATAGTCCATATTACACTCTTCTCAAGTGCATCAATCTCATCTAGTACTACCTTCTTCCACTCTGAATTTTATAATGCCTCTTGTATTATGCTAGGAACCTGAATATCATAAAGAGAAGTAGAAAATGCTCTGTGAGATGGTGACAACCCTTCAAAAGTAACATAATTCTCAATTGGATGATCTGTACATCTCCTAACACCCTTCCTTAATGCAATTGGCATGATAGAGTCATCAATGTTGGGAATTGGCACCTCTCCAGCCTCATCCATGCCTATGTTTTCTTCAGGTGGACTTGAAATCAAGTCAATATCTTAGCCACATGTTGGTTGTGATCTACACTCTAACTCTTGTCTTTGCCTCATGATATAGACTTGAAAATTCTCATTAGCAAGTTGTTGAGCCAAAGATTAAGCAGGCACAAGAGAAGAAATATTTGTGGGCTAAACTGATCATTGAACATGCACGGTGTGGACAAGTCTTGCGTACGATCTTTGTTTAGGCATTAGCACGGGTTGAGAAGAACCTGGTGACTTTGAGTGGGCAATGGCCACATACTCAAAAAAGAACTCTCAAACTTGATGTACATTCATGCTCTCCCCCTAACATGAGATTTGGGATATGGCGCATGTTCAAAGAAAGAGACACTCATGGAGGTGTTAAATCTTTTGTTGGTTGAAGAATAATATTTATACACTTCTTGAGTTGGAGAGTACAAACAACAACATCAAGCCTTTATCCCATCACGTGGGGTCGCCTACATGAATCATTTTTCTCTATTGTGTCCTATTAAGAGTCAAATTCTCATTTAAATCTAATAAAAGAATGTCATTTCTACCCAAATCAATTTGGAAGAATGTGTCATATGTTAAAACTATGGGAGCGAGTTATGGAGCATAGGTTGCGGTGTGATACTAATGTTTCTCAAAATCAATTTGGATTCATGCCGGGTAGGTCGACTATGGAAGCCATACATTTATTAAGAGGTTTGATGGAGAAATATAGAGAAAATAATGAGGATCTACATATGATATTTATTGATTTAGAAAAAGCATATGATAAAGTACCAAGAGAAGTGGCATGGAGAGTTCTTGAAAAGAAAGGAGTTAATAATGCTTATATTCAAATCATTAAAGATATGTATGCATGAGCTATTACTTGTGTTCAAACACAAGGTGGTTTGACCAAGTATTTTCCTATTTCGGTTGGATTACATCAAGGATCTGCCTTAAGCCCATATATTTTTGCTTTAGTCATGGATGTTCTCGCCAGACATTTGCAAGAGGATGTACCTTGGTGTATGTTTTTTTGCTGATGATATTCTTCTTGTTGATAAGACTAGAGAGGGATGACCAAAACCTGACCCCAAAATTTCAGGTTTGGGTTGACCATAACCCAAAGCGGGTCAGGTTCAGGTTGACCCGGGAACCCGGGAATGATCCGGAATGACCCAAAAACTCGTCTGCCCGTTCTGGCTGGCTCTGCCCGAGATTGTCTGCCTTCCTCACCGCCACGTCTACTCTGGCTGCCCCGGCTGCCCCATTTTGCCCTACGCCCGCCTGCCCTGGCTACCCAACCGCGTCGCGTAACGTCCCGAGGCCAATGTCGCGTCGGGTCCAATGTCGCATCGCGTGACTCGCGTCCCGCTCGAGTTCTGTGTCGAGCGCATCCCAAGTCAGTCGCCGACCGCTTTAGCTGGCTTCCACTGTTGCCGTGTCCACAAGTCGGGTCGGGTTGACCCGAACCAAAAGCGAGTCGGGTCGGGTCCAGAAAATCAACCCGTTCGCAAAAATGGGTCGGGTCGACCCGAACCCAAATAGTGCCAGGTCAGTTTTGGGTTCGACCCGAACCCGACCTGTGACCCGAAATTGACACCCCTAATTGGGGAGGCACCTCCTCTTCGAGGAATGGGGGGCTATGGAGGATTCAAGGGAAACAGAGGTGACCCAAAGGTGAGAAAGTTGAAGATGCTCATCTTTGAGGACGAGGATGCACATGGGTGGATCTGCAAGGTGGAGTGATACTTTTTGCAGTCAACGGGTTGACAGATGAGGAGAAATTGATAGGACTGTGCTTATAAGGAAATGCATTAGCATAGTATCAATGGCGGGACATGAGGGGACCCATTCGGAGTTGGAGTGAATTCAAGGATTGTTTGGTAGAACGATTCCGAACTAGCAGGGGAGGAAACTTCTACGAGCAATTATTCGCCTTGACACGGGAGGGTTCAGTAACGGAGTACCGGAAGATATTTGAGACCTTGCTAGCCGATTGGACAGCCTTCCTGAGATAGTGCTAGAGGGTAATTTCATGAAAGGACTGACACCAGAGATTCGGGAATCTATTAGAGTAACAAGGCCTCGTGACTTGGGAGAGGCTATGGAGCTAGCTCAATTGGTGGAAGATCAGAGGCACCTGGATAGAGAGATGAGAGCAGCTCAAGAGGTCCAAACATGAGGACCACCACCTTTCTGGCACCCAAGGAGCCGACACCAAATATTTTTCAGGAGACTTCGAAGGAGAAGACTGCAGGAGTAAGACATGAGGACAACTTCAAGAAGCTCATAGAAATGAAATTACAAGAGAAAAGAGCGAAGGGGCTCTGTTTCAGATGTGACGAGAGATATACGCCGGGGCACAGGTGTAAGGACCGGGCTCTTCAGGTTCTTACCGTTTGTTATGATGAGTGAATGGAGGGTGTTGTCTTTGCACCTTGCGAACAAGGTGGATCTTTGGAAGGGAAGTATTGTTAGACCGGTTCAGCCGGTTCGACGGGATTAGCTTACGCGAACATAGGCAAATTTTTTCGCCTCCTGTATGCACCAATTACACGCTCAGTCATGTGTGAGCTATTTTGGAAGGATTTTGGAGGGATTTAGGAGGGAAATTTGAATGTAGAGACTATTTAGAGATTTCCTTTTGAATTATATGCATTAAATAGTTGCTTTTCCTAGGGTTAGGGCATCTTGAATTTGGCTGAAATTTGAAATATCTTAGATTTAGGTTTTCTCTTTGGCTCTAGAGGCGTCTAGATATTTGGGAGAGAAAGATCCTCCTCTCGAATAGAGGATCAATTGTATCTTGGTATTTTCCATTTCCCTTTCATCAAATAATACAAATTATCTACTTTTTCATGATTTTGTGTGGATTTATGTGGAGATTTCTCAATGTATTCCGAAGATTGATAGGAAATACTTGAGATCTATAGGTGTTTCCTATCACATTCAACATAAATGAATGGAAGAGAATTTGTAAAGCTAACCTCATATAGTTATTAGGATGAGGATAATGATGACAATGGACCATAGTGCCTTTGTTTAATCCAAATTAAGCAATCAATCACAAAAGAAAAGTGATTTCACAAGTAAAAGCTTAATTGCCAAGTGTTCTTTAATCAATAATAACAGAATAATGAATCTAGAGAAATCCAATACAAAAGCTTAGCATAAGACATAACTTAGGCAGGAGAGGGGGGAGGGGGTTTGAAGGAAAGTGATTATACAACCATATTAAATAAATCATGAGCATTATCAATAAGTATAAAAATCTTCCTATTTTAAGATCGTTATGGTTGCATTGCATATGAACTACTCCATAACATTCTAGAAATCATATGATGACAAAAGTCCAAAAATCATACCAGATCAGCAATATTGCCAACACATTCTCCTTTGGCAGTGACATCCCCAATATTCTCTCCTTTAGCATAGGCTTTGTAAATTGGTGTTCGAGTAGATGTCGATGTGACAGTACCAACATTCTGCATGTTGAAGGATTCCAAGGAAGCACTTTATAAGATTAAAGTTTATATATTTTCAGGAGAAATACTCCCATAAAATAAGCTGAAAAAGGAAATAAGTATGACCTTTGCCACATTAGCCATACAGGCCAACGGTAGGAAAAGATGTGGAACTGTAGAAGTTGCTAGCTCAAGCCCCGCACCCAACTCCAACAAAAGATCACCTGCAAACCGAAGCTGCCAAAGATCCATTTTTTGTTTTTCAGTAACATAATTTACAAAAGGAATAGGGTTATTTAAATGTGAAGAAAGTTGCTTCACGGGAATTTTACCTGCTTCAGATCATAGTCAAATTTCTTCCCTTGCCTGGAGTAAAGCATTTTACCAACACGCCCAGCTCCATCCTACATTATAGATTTTTCAACTAAGAATATCAGAAGAATAGTTCGCCAGCAGCAACAGATCTATTTAGAAGACGAATAAAATATAAAATGAATATGGCAAGACATTCCAATATCAGAGGGCCTGGAATATGAATAACTTACCTTAGGATCCTCATAATATACTCACAATACTACTTTACTCTGAGAGAACAGCAGTGATAGCAAAAAAAGGCAAGCCAAAATGAAGCCCCAAAGATGGATGTTGGCACGGTTGCCCAACAAGCACAAAATTGTCAATTTTTTAAAGAAACTTTGCAATGGCATAAAGCTAGAAATGCATCTTTATTCAATAAGATGGCTGTTATGGAATACGCCCACTAATCCTATTTGAGTTCAAACATATGATTCTTCCTGACTTTCTAACTTGTGTACCATTAAAAAAAAAAGGTTTCTTTGATGCAACCTAACAAGCTAGTCACAAAGTCAACCCTAGATGGTTGGTACAAGACTAATGACTCTGCTGAGCATAAAAGACTAGTCAAAAAGCTTTCACGAAACAAAGACATTAATCAATCCAATTCTGTTAACTGAGCTCAATTTATGCATTAGACATGCTAAGCTAGAAAATGTTGACGCATGTAGGGTCTACCCAACTTTTTAGAAGGATTTGTGCATAATTCCATGGCAAATTAAATGAGCCGCGTAGAAACTTTCAAAAATCACCTCCTGAAAATGATCCCCAAAATGCAAATGTCCATATTTAAGGTGATAGTGTCAATCATTCCAACAAATAAGATTTTAACTTGTACAGCAGCTTACAGCAAACACTTCTCACGAGTAGCCTTGCATAAATTTTATGATCTTAAAAAGTAAGTAAAATATGTGAAAGACTGCATTGATATTAACCAAAATCTTGATAAAGCATAACCTTTCATTATAAAGCAGTCTTCAGATAGTTTCAAAAGAGGCATGGACAGATCTATGGAGGAAAATTTTATTTTATTGGGCAGATTGGTAATGAATATTCATTGTGCAGGAAGTCCTAAGAATGGACAAAGGAAATCATTACTGGGGCATGCATTAAACTTTCTCAGTAACATTCCAATCTTCGTGAATGTGACTGATTATTTAACACGTCATCCAAAAGATGATTTCTACATAATATTGTACTCATGCGCACTAGGTCGGGATTAGATGGCTAATTCCTAATTTGAGGGTGAAACTTTAATCCAGAGGGGGCACATTCAATGTTCACTATTTCCAGGGCTGTAGAAAACCCTGCTTCTGACCAACATAAACAGTTTAAGGCTTTGAGGTAGACTGCTTCTTAGAGAAATGGAAAGCATGAAAACAGTCACTTCATCCAAAGCCATAAAGGGCTTAAGAGAAAAAGGATATTAGATAAGCATTGTCAATATCATTGTACAGATCCCCTTTATAGCAACAGGAGAGAGATCATTTTGTTTTGTAAGGTTTCTAAAGTGTCTATAGCAACTGACACCTTGAGTAAACTGCTGTCCTCTACGTTCCAGGCAGCTGTTAGACAATCGTTTAGTGAACTTTTTAGTCTTTGTGCCACCCCCTCGGTGTAACAACCCGAATTCGTCATTTGAGTCGTCGCACGACATATGATGCGTCGGCGACGAACTTAAGTGAAATTTCGACGTCGTCGGACATTCGACGAAATAATTTCGTTAGATTCTCTCGAAATTTCGAGCGAAAGGGTAATAAGAACTTATATTTAATTCGCTCGGTTTGGAGATAAATGTCGAAGAAGGTTAAGTAAACTTTACCTTTCTACCCATTTGCCCTTAAGTCTTAAAGAAAAGTTAGAGTTAAGGGCACATGCGTAATTGGCACTAATTTTTCTAAAACTCTCACATGCTAAGGGACCGATTATTCGTCCCTTGTTCTTTTTTCGGCCGAGGGAGAGAAGCGGACGGGAGAGGGGGGAGAGGCGACGGGAAACGCACGAAGGCCGCTGCGGCGGGTTTCCGGCGAGCTCCTTTTGGAAAAACGTCGGGGAGGCCTAGGAAAGAGAGAGGTAAGTGTATATTGCAAGAAACTTCCCTCTTTTATGATTTTCTTGGAGAATTTTTTAGGGTTTTATATTTTTGT